CTGATTTTTGAGTCAGAGGAAGTAATATAGGGCCATAACTCAAGTGGTTCACCAATTTCTTTTCTGCTTCTAGGACTTGACAGGCTGATCTCTCTCATTGTTGATGCTCCAAGTATCCGAGATGTCATTGCATTTCCTAAATCCTTCAGGGGACGAGACCTGATGGGCAATGCTCCAGACTATGTCAGTCCAGAAGAACTAGAGCCATATCACATCCAGGTTTCCTGGCCTCTTGCAGAAAAAGAGGCAAAGAAAAACTGATTTAAAGCCAGTGATGTAAGCTAATCTGTTTAACCAGAGGTGATTACAGCTTCTAAATACTAGAATTCAGTTCAGAAAACATCATCTGTTATGGGGAAGGTGTGGGAGCAGTACAACCCCGCTGTATGTAATATGGCAGTTTCAGGATTGAATGGAAAATAGGTAAGAGGGCTCCCTGATAGGAGTTCACCTTTGGGTTGATACTGGGAAGGAAAAGTAGAAAAGCAAAGGAAAAGAACATAACTTTAGCATAGGATATTGAGACTGTTGGCTTTAGGGTGTCATATTGGAGGGAAGATAGGATCTATTTTTTTTTTTTCCATTCCCCATTTTTTACATGTCTCCTGTAAAGCCTTTATCCTCCCATCTGGAGGAGGAGGTAGCATCAGCTTCCCTGGTGGGATGGTTTGTGTTCCTGATGGTCATTTAATCTCTTAGCTAAGGACTATTATAATAAAGCAGTGCTGTGCTGGGCCAAGAGCTCTGGACACTTCACAGCAAAACTTCAGTGCAGCCAGCAGCTTGTCTCACGTTGGAGGATACAAGATCGTCCAGAACTTACCACTTGGAGTTCATATTCAGCTGTGTTCTCCCTTTAAAGACGGGGGAAGTGTTCACAACATTTGCAACAGCTAGTAATACTTGTCAAAGAGGTGATACCTGTCTTTGGGGCCTGCGGTCCCGGTGTTTTTCAGCACACTAATTCTGAAGTTTGTATGTTTGTAAATAAAGCTTATCTGGCAGTGTGGTTTTGACAGTTTGGCTTTGGTCTTTCTGTACGAGAGCAAGCTGCCAGTTTTTCTTTGTGACCCCTGATCCCTCTAGGAGATGACAAGAAGCCTGTGACAACATAGTGGGGTTGCTGGTCTTCTGTGAATTCTGCCTGGTCCTGCAGACCTGCTGCTACAGTGGCAAGTGACGCAGCAGCACGTTCCTTGCAAGGAACTGTCTGTTCATCCCTGTCCTGCACCAGAACAGCCATGGCACAGGAGCGACTCTGGATGGAGTAGAGCATGGGCTCTAGCAGCATTCTGCCACGCCAAGCCACTTAGCTCTGCTCTGTAGTGTACAGCAAACCCTCTGCAGAGGCACTCCAGCAGGTGTTTGTAACTCTGTGTTTAGGTTGGTGGAAGCAGAGAATTGGTGGGAGGAAAGGAGGAGGGTGAGGAAGCTGAGAAGAGAAGGAAGAAATTACCTGAATAAGGTAGGAAGGCAGTGCGATTGAAGAAAAGGGGAAACTCCTGCTGTCCTTCCCAGCTGGGACACAGTAAGTGCGTAAGGACAGAAGGAGGACTGTGATTCTTGTCTGAGCTGATGCTGAAATCCAGCTTGCTGCAGGACATTCTAGCCTGCAGATTCTAATGGATTCAGGGCTGCTCCAAGGCTTACCAGCTAATTCAGTCTTCACATGGGATACTACATAGTGGGCACACTTGTTTTTTTGTTTTGTTTTGTTTTTTTAAATACTGGACTGTCCTGTTGATAAACAGTGAGGGGTGTGGCTCTTCTTAAGGTTAGGGGTTTTTGAATACTTTAGAAAGCGTAAAAATACTATCCATAGACAAGTAACAGTAGAGCTGACTTGCTGTTGCTTTGCAGATTATAAAATGATGGAGTTCAGTGCGTAAAACAAAATTTAAATCCTTTCTGATAACATGATTATCATCAGTCTTGGATCATGGTTAAATACTATTAAAAAAAAAAGGCAGCACAATCCTGCATTTGTATTCACATTCATTCTAGCCAAACAATGAATTCCTTATTTTTTTCCTTGTATAAGGTTTTCATCCTGATCTTGAAATTAATTCACCTTTGTTTTACCATGTGTTTGGTTGTGTGTTTTGTTTTGTTTTGTTTTTTTTCCCCTGAGTAGATGATGTTAGTAATGGAGTAAGGATCAGCTTTTGGAAAGAAGCTGAGGTAAAAATTGCATCCCCAAGCAGATCCACGTTAAAAAACTTTTTAATTTTTCAGTTGTTCTTGCAGGGAGGAGAGTTACCTTGTGAGAGTGATAACATATTTTTGTTCCCTTTTAAGTGGTGATAGGGAATACAGTCACTACTAGGCTATGTATTATATTAAGACTGATTTTTTTTAGATGGATGCTGGATTTTGTTATTTAGTCTCTTTACTGGTAGTGAGATTTAACATTTGCATGGAATTTGCTTGAGGATCATTTGTGTTCTTAAAGCAGGGATGTCAGAGGCTTGTTTGAGGACATGGAATCACAGAAAATAACAGCTATTCTGGAAAGTTCTTCACTCCCCCCAGACTATTATTTATAGTAACTGTAAACATAATGTGCTGAACTTTTTAAAAATTGTGAAATAAAGGGTACTGTATCATTTGGCTAGTACCTGTTTGCAAAGGCAATTTTTAATTTTTATAATTCTTTAAGTTCTTTAAATTAGGATGATTATCAAGTGTTCAAAGGGCAAGTGATGCTCCAAGGGGTTTAGGCAGAAATATAACACTGCCTGGAACATTCTTCTTGAGAGCACTTGTTAAAACGTGTGAGCGAGCTGTCTCTGAGGTATATGCATCCCTCTTTTTTGTGTGAGCTGTTTTGTGTGATGTTTGTTTACCCACTGCTATATTAAGGACTCACTGCAGTTATAACGCTCAGCTACAGTGAAAAGAACACAACAAAACATGTCATCTGAGCTGCTGCAGTCCTGCCACAATTAGGTTGCTGGAAAAGATGTATCCCAAATTTATGCAAGCCGTCTGTGCTTGGATTTGTGAATGAAGGTGGCTTACAAAACAAGTGTGTGAATTTGCCAGGTTGCCAGAGAGAAGTCATTAATTGTTTCGCTTTTTATAATCAAGAGCACTGAGTGAAGTTTCACGTAGGCTTGTGGAAGCCTTATTTACAGAAAGTCACTTTTAAGTCATAATCCCCTTGACATACTTAGCTGCATGTTTTGTTAGAAGCAAAGAAATACATGGAAATAAGGGAGGGTGTCATATTGCAGACTGGTATCTCATGTTTGCTGGAGAAAACCTGCTGGCCTGTGATCCTGAAAATAGGTGTTAAAACCACTCCTTTAGTTCAGCACAATGTCTATCAGAAGAAACACCTGCTGAAAATAAGGTACAGCATCACCACAAACTGCAAGCTTTCACAGAGCCCTTGTTGCTTCTCCCCTCCTTTCTTTTTCCTGCATGAGACAAACCTATGGAGGAATGTTGCTATGCCAGCTATGCTAAAAGCTGCAAAGTCCTGGGCTCCTCTATTAAGAGCTAATCTTTAAGCAACCTTTCATTAGAGGTGTGAAGTGCAAGAAAAGGTTGGATCTGTATTGCTGTGTGGTTGGTTTGGGTTGGTGAGTTGCTTTTTTTTCTTTCCCTTCCTCATGCAGCACAGGTCTCCAGGCCCAAGCCAAACTAACAGTGTAAGTCTGTCATCAACGAGAATCCAAAGTCCTTGAAGGTGCCTTTGTGTTATTCCTTTTTGTCCAAAGAGTGAGCAGTGAGACAGTTAGTATATGCAGACTCCTGAGGCCGTTAGCTGTAACCAGAAATGTCCCAGCACACAGAGCAGCCTCCTATGCTACACTACGTATGCATGTAAAATGAGTAACAAACCCCATCTCACTGCCGTCTCCCGACTCCTGCAGTGATTTCCACGTGCCAGTGTAACTCCTCTTTCTTCAACCTCTTTTCAATGTGTGTGTATGTGAATTGTCCAGCCTCTACACACTCTACCTGGAGCAGTTGGCTTTGGGAATAGAATCACCAGCTGGACACCGGCGCTGCCTGAGGATTTGTTTTGGGTCTTTGCAGTTATGGATCAGCTTGTGATAGTTGAACGGGTTCCCTGACACGGCCTTCTCAACTCCAGAGAACTTAATGACTAGCATACATGGGATGTGAACGTGCAGGTGGGTGATAGGATTGTACAAGGAGTGCTCTTGCAGGAGCCAGAGCTGTATGTAAGACTTCTGTGCTCCTTTAGCCCTGCTAGATTGCTTATTTTCTTCTGTTAGATCTGAACAAACCACTGGTAAAATGAAGAGACAGTTTATTGCCCACCTGTAGGGGAACTGGATCTGTGTACGTTTCAATAGACTTGACTGGAAGAACCCCTTACTAAGCTTACACTACCCTTTTGTAACGTCAGAGGTAAGTTTCTGGTGTGTTTCGGTATTTTTTTTCCCCGCTCCAGAACACGAATATAGCGTGCTGGTGGGATTCTCAGCAGCTAAAGTGTGGGTTTTATTCTGAAAAGTTTCCAAGTCTATCCAAGGTATTTCAGGCTGGGCCAAGCTGGGGAGAGATTGCAGTATTTGATTTCAGCCATCCCAGATGGCTTGGGTGAGTTTGGCTGCAAGGGTTTTGTACAAACTGCCATAAAGACAGGAACAGTTTTTGGAACTCAAGCTGGAGTTTAATCCTATGTTGTGCTGCTATCTATCTCTCTAGAGTTAGCTAAATTACAATATAACTTCCACAGCAGCTTTGTGTAATCCCGTGCTGCAGATACCCAGAGGTCCAGGGTGATTAATTCCCAGTTCTGTTGAAAACAGACTACTGCTGTATGAAAATATTATACTTTGTAGCATGTCAGAAAAAATTTTCGAAGGATGGCTTCAGCTGTTTGCAGCTGGATTTGTACCCGCTGTTCTACCCCAGGGGGAAAAGGGGGGGAGCTACTGCTCTGTGCCATCACTCTCCTGTAGCCTGGGTCTGACAGAAGGACATCTGTGTGTGCATTTCTCCTGTTTTGGAGAGCCTGGGGACCTTCGCTCAGACCTGATGTAAGGACACCCAGCGTGGTGGAAGCCAAAGGACCTTGCTTGGGGGTACAAAGCTACCCCGGGAGCTAGACTGTATTCTAGACCCGGTGCTGCTGCATGCGAGCAGGAGGTGGTGCTTTGTACGTTGGTGTGGCCAGTCTCCGACCCCAGAAAGGCACGGCTCGGGCTCTGCGTTTCACCGGCATCAACCCCACCGGGAGGAATGGAGCAGGTGTGGTGCCGGGTGATGCTGCACTCGTGTCCAGCCTCTGGTGAGCACGGGCAGCCTTGGAAAAAGAGTTTATAATGGTAAGAGCAGAAGAAAGCGTATGCTCTCACGTGTAAGGGTTGCTGTTTTTTTTCCCTGCTTACTTTATACCTCTAGCTGCTTGCACGGTGATCTGTTTTGACCACGCTTGCTTGCTGTTGTCAGCGTATGTAACCAGCCGACCGGTGAGGATGCTCGGTACGCTCTTTGGCCCGTGTGTTAACAGCAGCAGGAAAAGCATAAACAGTGGAGAACCACCTAAACGCTACCAGATGGAAATCCCCATGTAAGCTTCACATGATTTCGCCTCTAAACGTTTGGGCTCTTATTTTAGGCTTGTGTTCTAGTTTGGTTTGTTTTTTTTTTTTGTTTTTTTTTTTTTTTTCCCCAAGCATTGTTTTATGTAATTAAAAAATGTTGATTACATGCAGTCACCAGCTGTGCCTGCCACAATTTTGCAGCAAACAAAGCTCTGTGACAGATATGTTCAGATGGATTGGTCACATTTACCTCTAATAATCCATCAGGCTGCAGCTTCCTTATTATGGTTTGATAGCCTTCGTGTTTACTGTAATGCTAAAGTGTTACGGATAGTTCTCCCATTAATTTGGTCATATTTTAAATATATCTATTTCTGTAGCCATGAGTTCTGTTAAATTATGTGTTATTCTAAAAAGTACTTTCTCTTGCTTAATTTAAATCTCTCACCTGATCATTTCGGCAGGTAACTTCCCATGTAGGTTATTAGAAGGAATAAATACTCAATTTTTTTCCTGTGTTTTCCACTCATCACTTCATGAATTAATATCCTCTGTTTTTCATTCACATCAATTTTAAGCTGTACAGTTTTAGGTGATTTCACCTGCCTTCCTGTGGAAATCAATGCATACCTCCTGTGCTACCAGCAGTGACTCTCCGTACAGCCATCAACAGCTGAAGTGGCCAAAAGTTGATGCCATTGTAGGCTGTTTGGAGTCTTTTTTTCCCCTCCCTATGTGTTATTGTGTGTATTTATCAACCTTGAGTTTCTGCTTTGTACTCTGTAAAGGTACTACATAACTTTTTTGGTGAAAAACCTAGTTTTAACCATTTACTTCAGCTAATATTAAAAAATTAAAAAATAAAAAAAATCAGAAAGATCACAAAGTACCTGAAAAAGAAAGCAGCAAGGTCTGGCAACACTTTGTGCTTTCTCGAGTAGCAGGGGTATACCAAAGTGAGTGATACAAAAACATTTCTGAGAATGGTCAGTACAAGGGGCATATACAGTGGCAGTTTTCTCTGGAACAGCAATCACAGTATACTATTGGATTTTTTTTTGTATTATCCTGTATTTGGAGAGTGATAGATTTAAAACACTCTCAGTCCTGAGAATTGTACTTGTTTGCTTAGCAATTTGGAGAGAATTGGAGTTGAAGGCTTCAGCTCTTTGATGGTGTCCCTTGAAATGCAGGCTCTTCATTTGACACCCATTCAGTTTTTCTTGTCGTTAGATTTTTATTTGTATATAAAGAAAAAGACATCCAGTACGGTTCTGTAAAAGAAAAGCCTTAAATGTCTTTTTTCTTGTAGCATGAACAGAACTAATTAGACATCAATTACAGTGCCAGAGCTCTGAGTAGGGTGGTACAGAGCAACTCTAAATCCTTTCAAACAGTATCACTTCAGTTTCAGTGGCAAAACAACAGTGTCCAGAGCAAAATGGGTGTGATATTTCTTGTGGGTGATACAGCCCCTGTTAACTGTAGAATGACATTTTTTTTGTGGTTCTGTACAAACATATCGGAGAACAAATAGGAGAGGTGGGTGGATGACAGGCTGACTAATTCGAGGTCACACAGGGGATTGTTCCAGAGGGAGCATCCCAGGAATACTTTAACAGCTCACATAGAAAACTAACTCTTCTCTAACCTCCCGTGCTTCTTTACAAGGAAATAATGCTGGAGTTGAAATAAAAAGTACTATGTCGTGTTCATAGTAAAAGTTTTAAAAAGCAATTATGGAAGGCAGGAGCTTGATTTGGATGTTTAGGATTTATTGTAAAAATTCCAAGAATGCTTTAAATAGAATTTAAAGTGAAGTAATATAAAGCCCTGAATTCTCATTTCATATTTTCACTATTAATATTATATAACTAAAGACGGATCCAGCAAAAAAAAAAGGATTCTTTTAATGGGAGGAGCAGCATAATTTTAGCACAGCTGCCACAGAAATACACAGGACCAAGCTCTGCCCACAGTTGCCTTTGGAGAGAGCTTGCTCATTTTAATGCATTTGCAGGAGCCACATGAAGAAAATATCTGGCATGCTGTTCCTAATTTCATTTGTGGAAGATGAGATAAATGCTAATGAATATAAACACCCATTAAATGTAGACTCACCAGTTAAATAACCATGCTGACTAAACTAATATATAGAGAGGTACTTTGTAGTCAGGATGACATTCAGCTGGAATAATACTTTCTGAAGGGTAATTTCTGCAAATTTATCATTTTATTAATGCTACCTGAAAAACCTTCTGTTTAAGTTGTGAGCCTGCAGACCTTGTTTCTTCATGTCAAGGTCCTTGCCATCCCTCTTTTCCGCTCCTCACCGCTTCCTTGGCAGCGCTGATCAGAGTGTTTGGGGGATACCCAGTGAGCAGCCCTTCGTTATTTCAACTAGGGCCATTTTTTGGATCCAGAACACTGCACAACCTCGGAAAGAGCTGCTGCAGCATAGCTGAGGAATAGGAGTAAGTGACTGAGGCTTGGAGATTATAGGAATGAGCTGACTGAAGTAAAACAACGTGTAGTTAATTCATGCTGCCACCTCGTGGCTCCTGCTTAAAAACATTTTAAAATACTGAAAAGTGTCAAAATAATCAGAATCTATCAGGCAACAGTAGGAAATACTAAAGCTGTTCTTTAAATAGCTAGTGACAGAATATTTTTGTGTGCTTTCCTAGGGGTTACTCTTCCCTTTGAAATCATAAAGTCGGTTGCTGTTTCATTCCTTATCCTTTCACGGTAGTGTGAACTAAAAGCTGGAGGTGCACAGTGTGAGTTTATATATATCTTATGTGATGCTGTGAATCTTATTATGGAGAACAGACATCCTATAATGTGCAGTTATAGAAATTTTTATGCACTTTAACAAATTCGTAAGCAGAAAATGTCATTTGACATGGAAATTGAATTATAGTGTTCATTTATTTATTAAGTATACCTGGAGGATAAGTAAAATCGAGGATGAGCAGTCTCATCAAAGTCTGCTGAAGGCTGTGTCTGCCCCAGTGTCATAAAAGAAGAAATGATGAGGGTGCTCAGGGAGGTGAGTTGCTTAACTCGCCTTGCTTTCAACAGCCAGGACTGGAACATGCTGCTGCTGCTGAACAGCAGGATATTTCTAATTGAGCTTAATACTTTTATGACCTCTTTGGCAGCTCTTGAATTTCAGTTGACCTTGCTTTTGAACTGCTGTGGGTTTGGTTTGGGATTTTTCCCCTCCCTGGAGCTAGGATTGCTCATGATAATGTCTCAAATTTCTTCTCTGTCTGCGGATGACTGTCCGAATCCCTCAGTCACTGCGGTCCCCAGCGCAGGCACAGGCAGAGCCTCCTGGAAGCTCCACGTGCTTATCCAAATATTTTTTCAGGGCACCCTGAGTCTATACAAAAGGTTACCACTTAACTGTTGCCACTTGCCATTTATAACACTTAATGTAATGGTTGGTAGATGGTGTGTTGGACTGCACTGCACAGCCTGCATGGCCAAATGAGAATTTCCCCCCCCCCCCCCCCCCCGGTTTCTTTCTCAATATTACAGCTTGGTTTCTTCTAGGTTGCTTAACTCAAGGTTTGCCACTTGAGCAAAGGGAGCAAGCTTCTGGTGACAGCGACCTAATGTGCCACCACTAAATGAATAAACCACAATTCTCCCTTTGTATCTGTGCTATTAGTTTGTATCTCTAAGCCTGCAGGAAAAAAGATTTTTGCTTAGTCACGATCCCTTAATGTAAAAAATACTTGTTTCAACTGTGGCAACCCTTCCTTTCAGTAGTCCTGGTAAGCATGACAAATGAGCAGGTCAGCACTTTCCTTGGTCCTCCTTATACGTTTAATGTACACGTGGGATAAGCATGAGAAATTGAAAAACTGTCAAGACGGCCAAAATGTTTAATGCTTTATTTTGTAATACTATTCCTGGTTAGAAAGTTCAAGAGAAAGAAGTGCTGACCAGCACCGCTGGTGATAATGACAAATAGTGAGATCTCTGCTTAGCAGAGAGGAAAAAAAATACATTCAAGAGGGCTTTTGGGATATCAGTGGTCTCAAGCTGTCTGGGTCAAGAATTTTAATAAAAAGTTAGCTGAAGTGATTTCAGAATAATTAGTGGTGATTTTTGAGAAATTATCATGGATAGATAAGGAACCTGACTGCTGTAAAAGTTGTGCCGGTACCTGTCTATAAAAGGAAGGAAAAGAGGACCTGGGTAATTACAGATCAGTTTAATTTTCATTTACAGAAGAAAAAACATCTGAAACAAAAGCAGTCTGGAAGACGTTGGACATGTAAACCATGTGTTTTTTTGGAGGAAATTCATCTCAAACTAAAGTAATATATCATCATATGACAAGATTAAAAGGTGTTATTGCTAGGGGAGAGGCAGTACGTGACAAATACCAAGTCTTTTTGGCATAGTCATATTTAATGTGACTAGATGAAACTGAGTACAAAATGGTTGGATGATGCTACCCAGGGGGAAAAAAAAAATTAAATGTGTATTTTCAGGTGCTTGTTCCAGGAACATTTCCTTCAATCTTGGATGGTGACTAGAAAATGCAGTTTCATATATTTATTAACAAACGAGTACAAATGTGGAGAACCTGTGGGCTATTGAGAGAGACATATGGCTGGGATTCAAACCTTGACAAATGAAGAAATGGCCACAGAAAAACTAGGATGCCACACAGTAAAGATTAATGCAAGTTGTTCTATTTAGGAGGGGAAAAAACAGCTCTGTAGACAGCAGCAGACGACCGGCTGTTCTGACAGCAGAAACTGCTGGTGTTTATACTGGGTCACAAGCTAAACATGAGTCAACAAACTTGTCCTATTGTGAACAAGCACATACCATGCTGGGGTGTAAACAGTCATGCAGACAGCAGAACGCGGGTTGCCGTCTCTGCGTTCTGCTCAGCGTGGTGTGGACACAGCTACAATACCTGATTTGGGGGTTTGGAGCCGTGCCCTTGAAAAGAACCTGCATGCTGCATTAATTCCCAGTCTGTGCCTCTGGACCGGCA